GGGCACGTGAGACGTTCTTGTGAGTTATAGCGTTGGTTATACCGTGACCGTTGAAATTAAGTGTATTGCAAAGTTGTATTCAGAAAGAATAAACCAGTTTTATTTAAGAAAGGACTTGTATCGTTAGAGTTTTTCGGAAATAATGTTTACGGAAATTAACTAACGAACGGAGACGTAACAATATATATATATATGTGTGTGTGGATTGACTTTATTATTATTTACTTATGGAATAATTTTACTTTTATTTTTTTACAGAAAGTACTTATTGTGTCTATATTTTCACTTGGTGTTTGTATTTTATATTCACACTTATAATATTTTTACAATGTTAATAAATCTTATTAGTAGAAGAATCTAGAACATCTGGTGTGTTATAATAATTGAAGTTTTTGTTTGTTGCTATTCGCACATTACACGGGCTGTATATTTACTGTGTACGCACGTAAACACTCATAGGTTTATTTGAATTTAGTATTTCACATTGTGGATGCTTGGATAGACGTCATTGAATGGGCATGCGTACAAGTATCAGCGTGCTTTGTCAAAGAAAACGAAGTAGGCTGGATAGTAGTTGGAAAAACTTGTGTGGTTATTTTAGTTTGTAATGTGTTTTTTTTTATAAACTGATACTGTAAAAAGCAAAATAATGAAAATTTTCCAGTTTTGAAGAAACAGCACCATGTCCTCGAAAGATGGCAAGTTTGTTTTCTTCCTTGTATATCTGTGTAGTGTGTGTGAAATTGAATAGAAATCGCTGTTTTCTAGCCAGGGCACAAGGCCTCAGACTGAGTCAGAGTGTAGTTTAGCCAAGTGTATAACTTAACGTTGAAGTGCTGCAGTAGGTAACCGTTATGCCTTTTGCACAGGAACTTTCTGCTTCTGATTTAGTCAATAAATATATAAATGTAAATGAAAGTAACAAACAGATTTATGCAAATTTAGTTAACTGAGGTTTAAAAATAAAACGTTTGCATAAGTATAATTTCTAAGCTCTTAATATCTAAAAAAAAAAAAATACTGTAACTAGTATTAGTAGTAGTAGAAGATTAGTACTAGTACAGCTTGAACACAATATGACAAAGAACTAACCATATAAAATTAGGCATTACTGTAATGAGATAGATTTAAAAAAGGCACATTTAATTAAATTGTGGTTCAAGTCCACAGTAGAGAAATGTTAATAAAATACAAATTAAAAGGTACTTAGATTTGAATTGTGTGAGATACTAATTACTAATCTGTTATTATTAGTAATACTAGTAGTAGTACTATCCCATTTTTGTAACTCAAAATAACTTAATCCAACTATTACAATATTGGACTGAAAGTCACTTTATTGTTCAGAGATCTCCTACTCCAACTAATTAAATTGTAGTGCCTCACAGTAAGTGATGACTTGTCAACCCATAATTTTAACAGATATTTACACAAAAAATTTGTGTATATAATATTATATTAAGCTATGATTACATGAAAATATAATCTGTTTTAGAGCTTATAGCAGCAAAACCTTTTAAGATATTTTTATATCTTAATTTATATATATAGAGGCTTAGCAGCTGTTTATATTAATTTATTGCTTTTAAAAAATAATAAAATGCTTTCTGACAGAAACAGCTACAGCAGTACATGAACAAAACTAGTGTTAAACTTTTAACGTTTGCCATTAACAACAGGTTTTATATTTTTTGGTGAAATTTGGGCATGTTTTTAAAATACTAGTCAGTGGCTTTGCAAGTGAAATAAGTTATATATTAAGTGCCTAAAAAAACTAAGTTTTAAGACAATTATCTGATCTATAATGAAGAATGAGAATAAAATAAAGTTGAAATATGAGCATAAATATGTACACTTTGAAATAAAAAAAGTTAATAAGAAAATGGTTTTGTAAGTGCAATTAAGTGCTTTTTTTATAAATTTTTCCAAAGTATTGTTTATGTATGTTTTAACAAAAAATTTATATGTGAAGGAATATTAAATTCAGTGCAAAATGATTGGCTATGTGATCCACCCACGTTTATCCACATTCTGGCTTATTCTTGGAAAAAAAAAAAAAATATATATATATATATATGTATATTTGTCCAAATATATACAGATCTGCTTCAAATCCTGGCTTATTAAGTTTTTAAATTTTATGATCCATTACTTGTTATTGTCTCTATAAATAATATGTTATTATTAAGGATTGGACTAAACAGTTAATTTAAATTTAATTAAAATAAAAGTTAATTTTTTATGGCCAAAATGCCCTATCACAGTAATCATCATTCGCCTTAGAGATGTATGTTCAATATAAACGTTTCCGGTTGACACCACTGTGGAGGTGTGATTGAGGCTGGTTGTTGAAATGATAATGATTGATTTCAATCCACCATTTACCAACCCTTTTTTTTTTCTTTTGAAGCACTTTTTTCATTGAATTTAGGTAAATTGTGAATCCCCCCCCATAATGATCTTAAACTTGGAGATTTTGTATGCATCTGTTTTCTGGTCTGGTTTGAAATAATACATACAGATAAGCCAAAATGCTGACATTTCCAAGATTTTAATGCCATTCATATTGAAAGAATTCACAGTCAGCTGGAATTTAAAAAGTTTGACAAGTTTAGTGTGACATAGTCTGTCTTCAGGATAAGAGTAGTTCCAGGTATTAAGTTTCAATTCTTCGTAGGGTTAATTTATTGTGATTTGTGTTGTACAGAATTAATTACTTTTTAAAATGGGAAGTTTTAGTTCATTGTTTTGTAATGTGCAAGGGAATAAACCATATTTAACCTTATGTTTTTTTCCAATGAATTAAGTTTTACTTTTCAAAAGTTGTAACAGCCATTTCTCTATCCAAAGAAAGATTAATTAAAGCTTTCTGCATAACATTTTTTTTAACCGGGAGTTGGTGTGGTTACTATTTAATGAATGTGAAGCATTTAAACAATTTTCATTGTTAATGTGAGACTTGGAAAGAAGGAAGTGAAAGATACTTCATATGACGCATGTGTTAATATTTGTATTAACTAAGAAAATATACTCGTGAAGATGCAGGACATTATGGATGATAAAATAGGATTGATGCCATTGTTATAGACTTCGTGCTAAGCAGAAAACTAGAGACTAAGTTGTTGTAATAACATTTTACCAGAAAATATGAATTTGATTGTTGGCACTACTGTAATAGTTGGGTGGAGTGAATGAGTTGCAGATCGGCTAACATGTTTAATAATCAACTAAGTTACATCTTTCAACCTGTGCCAGTGTCTAAGTGGACTATTCAAATATCTGTAGCCATAGAATGCACCACATAGTTATATTGATTAAGAGACTTATTTATTGAACTATCAAAATTTATAGAAGTACTTCTACTTTCTTGACCTGTAAAAAAAATTACACACACCTAACCTTGAAAATAGTAAAAACTTAAATGCAGTAGCGTGGGCCTCCACCACTGCCTGCAACAACTCATTTTATAAGTCAGTCACCCAGAAAGATAAAAATGTCTTAACTGGAGCCTAGTCTGTTATATTCTGGGTATAGCACAAAGAAAGCAGAAACTTTTTCTTATTGATCCCCTGCATAATCTTATAAATTTCAAAATTATCTCTTACCCTTCTTTTCTCAAGAGAAAATAAGTTAAAGATTTTAATCTATCCTTATAAGAAAACCATTCCATCCCTGGAATTGACCTTGATGCTCCTCTGAACCCTTTCCAATACATTAATATAATTTCTTAGATATGGAGACTGAAACCATATACAGTATACCAAGTGAAGCCTAACTAGTGATATGCAAAGATAATTACAACTTTTGACTTGTAGTCAGTGTTCAGTACATCTATAAATACACCCAAACATTATTAGCTTTAGTGCTAGCATCAGAGCACTGCATCATTGGCTTGAGTTGTGTTAAAAACAATGAGAATCATTTCCAGCTCATTATAAGGATACTTCCCATCCTATTGACATCCACATGAAAGGACCAGGTGTAGTGGTACTAAGCAGGTTTTCCACAGGAAATCACAAGTAGTTATTAGTCATTACTCTTTAGCTTCTGCTTTGTCTCGTTGCTTTGAAAATACTCATTGAAAGGAGGTGTCAAAAGTCAGTTTTATAACCAAAAAAAATGGAGAAACCTGGCAAAGATGAGTGCACCATCTAAAGCATTGTTGAAGCACTGCTTTGATTATAGCTTTTATTTTTCACTTGTTATGGAGTTGGAATATATTAAGGTGACTGTTAAACAGCTTAGAAAATCTATCTTAAAAAGCCCAAATCAGTACAATAACTGTTGACTTGGGAGAAATCATGAATAAGCTAGAAGGACTTGCTTACCTGGACCACTTTACATTGTCTCAGTGGAGATAAAGAAAATCTAAATGGAGTCATCGTTACACTGGAGGATAGAAACCATTTTATAAACAACTGAGTGGTAAATAATTTTAGTTAGCAAGGACACTGTTGCAAGTGTGACCAAAGAAAAGTTGTCTAACAACTCCAAAGAAGTAGTTTATATTATGGATGGAAGCATAGAAGGGAGGAATCATTATCAAAGAGATACTAGTAAATGATATTATTATTAAGATACTGTGAGTATCAAGAGTTCAATGAAAATTAAGTTACCTTAGGGTGAAACAACTTTAAATTCCAGAAGGTTTTTATACATCCTCATGTGATGTAAAATCACTTTTGTCATTTAGAGCAAAGTTTTTGGTATTTGTTACTTTTTTTGGTAATTGTATAAAAATATGATTTTATATGGATTCAGTATTAAAACAGTGTCTTATAATTCTCCATGACACATTTTAATTTAAAGGTCTATATATTTTATTTTTCCACTTGCTTTGTGAAAGGTAACTTTTTATTTTTTAGATGCCGATTACTGGGAATTTGAAGATTCTGTGACTCATACTTTCAGTGAGGAATTTGAGTCAAAACCATTTGATGGGAGTGATGTTCTGTCTGTGTCAAATAGTTCTTTGTTTTCAAGTTATCGTGGGGATGTGAGTAATGCATTTTTTGACATTGTAGTTGAAGAAAGGTAAAAGCTGTATATCAAACTGTAAGTGTGTAAGAATATAGTGGTTAAAAAAATGTTGAGGAAACTTTAATACCAGTATTTTGAAACTCAAGCTACAAAACAAAAACTTTTAGAATATGTAAGTAAGTCAACCAATTACATGTGTTAGTCTCCAGTGGGTTTCTTGGCTATGATAATAGCAGATGTAGTCTGCTAAAACTGACCATCTTTGTTAGAAAGTACAGAGTATGAAAAAGTTTCTGAAGTTGTTATTTATTTGCCACATACAGTTGTTTATAAGCATTACTACTCTAACCCTCATTAAAAACTTAATGCAACTCATGATGATATAAAGGGATTGACCAATATCTGTAACATTTAGGAGCCAACAATAAACTCTAGTAGCTGGGATAGTAGCTTAATGCAGTGGAGGGCAAGTAGATAATACCCATCTTGCCACAAGAAATTTTGTGGATCAATTTTCAGTTTCATGCAAGTTATGTATTTTGCTTTGAAGGTGAACTAGTCATGCAGTCTCATCTGTGTGATACAGAATTAGGCCCAGCATGGCCAGATGGTTAAGGCGCTTGACTCTCAATCTGAGGGTCGCAGGTTCGGATCCCCCGTCCAACAAAACATGCTTGCCCTTTCAGCTGTGGTGGCATTATAATGTGATGGTCAATCCCACTATTCGTTGGTAAAAAAGAGTAGCCCAAGAGTTGGTGGTGATGACTAGCTGCCTTCCCTCTAGCCTTTCATTGCTAAATTAGGGATGGCTAGCGCAGATAGTCCTTGTGTAGCTTTGCGCAAAATTCAAAACTCACCAAACACCTAATACGGAATTATGTAAAGTTGGTGAAAACTAGTACCAACCTTCTTAACTGTGTCTCACAATTAAGAGCCTTTCTGCTAATATGCATGTTAATTAGCTGGTGGTGAAACATCTGAAATCTAAAATTCTTTTCAGAATTATTTAAATTTGAACTTCCTTGATGATGCAACAATAGGTATTGGAAATTAAAACGATTTACCAATTTTTCCTGTAATCTTTATTTATATTGCGAATTGCTATATATTTGAAAAGCTTCTTTTTTATGAAAACTTCCCAGTTGTCAGCTCATTTTTTTTAGGTGCCATGGTAACCTGGTGCATAGATTTGCTCAAAATGTTTTTTACCAGAAAGGTGATACAAGAAGGCTCCTCTCTGATGATTATGAGATGGCTAGGTTATTAATTATTACTTTTTTGCTTGAATTTTTATTATGAAGATTTAAATAATATACCCCATCCTGAGAAGTTGCTAGATGTAAACAAGATGATTACATTAATTCTGATCTTGATAAGAAAGAAGTGGGAAGTTTAAAGAATAACAAAGCTCTTAGGCCATATATTTCGCTGAGAGATTTGAATGAAGTTCAGAATTCGATATGTGAGCCACTTGCTACTGTTTTTTGTAAGTTTTGAATAATGTATAGGTGCCAGGAGATGGTAATTTGGCTAATGTTGCTCCACTTTTCAAGGGAGGTGATAAATTTGTCCCAGTAATTACAATCTATTAGCCTTGCATCAGTCGTGGAAATAGATTTTTTAAAGTCTGAGAAAAGAAGCTTTTCCAAGTCCTTTAACAAAGTTGAAATTTTGTCATCATGGATTCACTAGAGAATATCTTGTCTTACTAGTCTTTTGACATTCTTTGAAAATATTTCTGCTTATGTAGATGGGGGTATGCGTGTAGATTTGGTGTATCTGGATTTTTAGAAAGCATTTGACAAGGTACCACAGAAAAGGCTTGCTAAAATATTATTTCTGTAAGTGTGGGGGATAGGTTGGCTAATTGGACAGAAAAGTGACACCATGGAAAAAAATCAGAGGGCTATTTTAAAGAGAGACCAATCAAAGTGTATGAATGTGAAATGTGGGGTATTTCAGGGCTCACTGTTAGGACTTTTCTTTTTGATTTACATCAATTACATAGATGTAGAAATGGTCAACAAATTGTTTAAATTTGCTGGTGATATTAAGGTTTTTGATGTTTACTGAGCAGAGGATGGTGCTGCTTTATTAAAGAACTTGGATTATTTGATGAGTTGGGTGAATAAATGGAAGATGGCTTTTAATTATAATGCATGTGGAATATCATGATTTGAATAGTAAATTTGATGAAATAACCATAACAATGTTGTGGAAGAAAAGGATCTCGGTGTCTTGATGCCATCCAAGCACTATGTTGTTGTTAGTGGTATGGTAAATACGATTTTAGGTTGTATGTACAGAAATATTGAATACAAGTCTAAAGAGTTATAATTTCATTGTATAGGATGGGCCAAACTGAAGTATTGTGTTCAGTCTTGGGCTCTTTCTTCTAGGAAGGCCATTGAATTGTTAGAAAGTGTTCAGAGGAGGGCTAGTAAGATTAGACCTGGGATGGAAAGGTTGTCATATGAGGACAGGTTATGTTCTCTGAAATTGTTTTCCTTTGAAAAAAGAAGAGTTAAGGGGAATTTGATTGAAGTATTTAATATTGTTAAGGGAATTTTTAGTGTTGAGGAATCTTTTTTTTTTTCATACTTGATGGTGACAATACTAGGACTAGGGGACAAATATAAATTTTGGCAGAGTAAAAATTAGGTTGGCTAAGATAGTCTTATTTTTCTAACTGGATGATTGACCTTTGGAATGTTTTATTTTAAAGTTTAGTTTAGTAGATGGCATGGCCTAAATGGACCAATAGGTCCCTTTTTTGTCCTTAGATTATACATTGTGTTACATGTTATGAAATGCAGGAATGTGTGTGATGTGATCCTCGTTAAACTTATTTTTTCCATTAATCCTATCAACAGAAAGGTCAACACTCTTGCAGAGTGTTTTTTTTGCATATACAAACTATGCTTAATTGTATCATACATAGTATAAAATTGACACAAAATAAGCCATGCTTGACTGTGATAAAAAAAATGTAGAACAAATTTCACAGAGAAGGATTAATTTGAACCGAATTTTCAATTGAGCAGTTTTTTTTTACTATTACATAACACAGTTTGTGTTGTGTTTATTGCTCTTAAACATTCCATACATTTCAATAAGTAATTTTTTGTTACAACAATTTTTAAGGTTCATTAATCTCTGTATAAATCATACATAAAAACTAAATTTAGATAAAGTATTAATGATATTTAGCATGATATCAAATATGATTTTAACCCTGTTTTTCAATTCAAATTATAAGCCAAATGGTATTTCCATGTTCAGAAACTGGAATTTTTTTCAAAACTCCTTTTATATATAAAAGTAAAAGCAAAATGCTTAAGTAACGAATGATTGTATTATTTTTTTTTCAGTCATTTTTAAGAAGTTGCTTGATAAATATTTTGAATATTTTAGGTTATATCAGATATTAATACAACCACAGAATGATCCATGATGAAACTTTAAGTAAATTTACAGAACATTGAATATTTTTCATAAAATGAAATGTCACTGAAAAAATCTTTTTCACATAGATAAATAAGAAAACCTCAATTTTAGAGTCAAATGATACCTCATTGCTGTTTGTTTTTGTGATTTATACATGTTAATATATATCTCGTTTATTGGATTTACTTTATATTCTAGCTAATTGAAGCCTCTTTAAAATATTCACGGTTTTTAAGAAGAGATCTAGGAGTTTGGAGATTCTTTTAAAAAAAAATTAAGTTCCAAAACTGATTAGACGATGTTTTATTGTTATATCTTCTTTAATATCTAGAATCATAATTTGTCGAGTAGCCAGAATTTTAAGCATAAAGACATCTTCCTTACGATAGCTTGAAACCCCATACTCAAACCTCAAGAAAATGACTTGACTACTGCCTATTTGCTATCTCTTTCAAAGCTTCTAAAAAGTGTAACTAAAATTAAATTAGGCTAGCTTAGATTCTTATAGTGCAAACACATACAAATTGGGATTATGTTTTGCAACTTTTGTGGAAGGAAGATTCACTTTCAGTATACTTTATTCTTTTGCTTAACAGATTTACCATTTTTTACTTGTTTTGTGTTTCATAGATTTTTTATACTATTAAATTTTGGTGGAACATTTAAGAAAATTATGGTAACAGCAGGCAGTTTGGACTATTGAAGTCACCCCTAACCAATTACAACAACTAACCAAAGCTTAATTCGTTCTTTCGTTGGAACTGAGACGTATATTTCCCAGTGCTCCCACCCCCTTGCATTGCAACTGGGACAAATGTTTCTCACTGTCATTCAAAATTGCCACACGTGACATATGGGAGTAAATTGAGTTGGAAAATATTTATTGTCATCCCCCTAATGTTGATATATGGTTTCCCTCAGTGTTTTCCACACAACTCTTCAGTATCAACAAGATGCCTAAGCAGAATGTAGAACAACTGGGTGTCAACTGTGTCCACATCACTAGAGTGGTGAGTAGTAACCCTAATTACTATGTAAATGTGCTTGACTCAGATAGCTTAGAAGATAGTGAAAGTGAGTCAAATGTGTGATGATGATGAAGAGGCAATGAGACAAGAGGATGCTGGTGCTCTATCTAGTGATGATAGTCAAAATGATGAACCTGGACCCAGTTGAAGAAGGCGTAAACAGTGTCAACAATAGGAAACATTTGTC